GTCTCTTGCCTCGGCCCTCCTGCGGCCGCTCTCGCCTCAGTCGGCTCCACCTTCGCCGCCTCTCCTACACCTCTCTCTTTCTATCTATCTATGGATCTCTATCTTTATTTCTATCTCTATCTCTCTTTCTCTCTGTTTCTCTTTCTCTCTATCTCTCTTCCTCTCTGTTTCTCTTTCTCTCTATCTCTCTTTATCTCTATCTCTTCATCACTCTCTTTATCTTTCTCTATTTCTGTTCACCTCTCTCTCTTTCTCTTTCTCTCCAATTTCCACCTCTACTCTCACTATTCCCCAATGCCCGATGGCCCCTCCAACTCGAGCTCTTCTCTTCCACTCGCTCTGGCTCCACTTCCATCAACTCCACCTTCTCCTCCACCTTCAGTCCACCCACCTTTACCCTCCTGTCCTCCACTTTACTGTCCTCATTCTCGTCTCTTAAGTGTCGATCTCCCTTCCTCCCTCACTTCCTCCCCCCATCATTTCCCTTCCCTCCCTCCCTCCTCCATCTCTTCCGATCCACTAGTCATTTCCTTTTTTTTTTGTAATTTCCCTTCTACAACTGCATCTACGCAAAGACCACCAAAGCATAAACATCACAAGGACAAATACAGCGGCCACAGTCGGAACTCCAAAGTCATCCCTTCGACACATCATCGACACATTAACTAATAATAAATTCCAATTTCGTCGCCATGACAGTCGTGCCTACGCATCACCACGTAAATGATTAACTAAACAATAATAACAACAATAGTAAATAATTCGCGGTACAATCAATAAACAAATGAAATATAAATAGCTGATAATTGGCTGAATAGATAGCATTAGCGATTGGCTAATACCTGGGCCCGAAATCCTCGTTTCCAGGCTATGCACATGGGATTAATGGTCGTGAAGAGAACTGCATGCTTAAATGGATCCAAAATTTCCAGTGTCACCGGCTCCGGGAAGAGAGAGAGAGAGAGAGAGAGAGAGAGAGAGAGAGAGAGAGAGAGAGAGAGAGAGAGAGAGAGAGAGAGAGAGAGAGAGAGAGAGAGAGAGAGACAGAGAGAGACAGAGAGAGACAGAGAGACAGACAGACAGAGACAGATAGGGAGATTGAGAGAGAGAGACAGACAGACAAAAAGACAGAGACAGAGGCAGAAAGACCGACAGAGACAGAGACTAGGGAGACTGTGTGAGACAAAGAAAGAGAGAGAGAGAGACAGATGGATAATCAGATAGATAGATAGACAGATAAACAGACACCTAGAGAGAAAGTGAGGGATACAGACAGATAGATGAAGAATTCATGCTTAAATGGATCCAGATTTCCCCTGTGTACGGAGCCCGAGGGCGGTCAGACAACGGGTGAAGTAACATAACGTAATTTTTTCTCATTCCGCGTCATTGGGAAATGTATAAGCACTGCTTCTTTTTGTTTAACATCTTCTGTCAAGACTGCTGTCATTATTATCTTCCTTATCATTCCCATTCTTATACATGAAAGTAAGAAATTTTGTCACTCTTTTAGACATTTACAGTTACTGTCACCAGGTCTACTATTTTTTTCTTATCTCGATCATCATAAATATCTTCATAATGGTTAAAATTATAGCATTATTTTTTCTATCAATATTATCATTACGTCGTTATTATTATTATTACTATCATTCATCTGTTCATTATTACCATTCATTTACATCATTATTATTATCATTAGCTTCATCGGAATTATGACAACAATAGTAATATTCAAAATCATCGTCCTAAACCTTACATCAACATCACTCCACTTCTTAAGTCAAAGTCGACGCCTTCCATACTCCTCGAACATGCTATGTGTTCCGCCAGTCAGTCACTCTAATGCGCCAGCGAGAACAAGAATTCGAATTCTTCAGTAAAGTGTAACATAAATAAAAGAGAAAGAAAAAACACGCAGATCCGAAACACTTTCTTTGCTTTGATAAGATAAGTTTTTTTTTCCATCCAGGACTAAACCAAATGATAATTTAAAAAACAGTTTGTAACAACAATAAAAAATGTAACAAAGCACGTTTAACTTTTTTTTCCTGGAATAATTTTATCTATTGAAACATTAACAATGATTCCAGCACTAACAAAACGTGCCCTGCGTCCATGCCATGATTTTTCTTCTTTTCTCTTGATCTTTTTATTTCAAAATGGCCTCAAGATCACAGGGCGGGCCAAGAACTGGACTCTTGATGTCCGCGGCGTATTTTCTGCGCGATAACAAAATTAGATATGGTAAATTTATGCATATATACATCAGCAGATGTAAGCAAAATATTCATCTTCACTCGACGTTTGTATTTGTATGGTGTGTTATGCACTCTGTTTGTTTGTAAATCATCTGTCAATTTATGTAATATCTCTTAGTTCCATTGCCATTCCTCTCATGTAAAATGCGGAGGTCATTTGCTCCCTAAATACTTAGTATGATGCACAATGCGTTCAGTCATGTGCGCTATGCATGTTCAAATAGTCCTACTGCACCTTT